TTAATATGCGCAAAATTGAAAAACAAATTTTTATAGAGTGTATGGCTAAGAAATGCTACCCTTGAGTTGCAACGTAAGCAATGGCGGCCACTAACAGAATGGAAGGACCGACTTCAGAAGCACCTGTCTTCTCTTGGTGTAAATGACTATCGGAACTTCGCAGCCTGGAAGCGCAAATGGTGAAGTTTTTCTAATCTCGGTCCAAACCGACAAATCGATGCAGCTCCAAACAGGAAAAATAAATGTAGACTATATTAGATTATTTTTCTACATGCATAGAATTTTACATACACGCACATGGGTGCATACATACCACGTATTCTATTTCCCTTTAGAATGTTACGGATCACCGCTAAGTGGGACTCTAGTTAACAACCGGAAGGGCCTTTACAGATAATTTTCACGGGCATGCCGCATTTCACGCCTGTCCTCCACAATTATCTATTTTCCTTAGTCGTATTGCGCGTTGGAGAACACGCATCGATGCACTTTGAACGACTGCGCACCTCTAAATCATCCTTGCGCTTAAGTTTGATTCCGCTTAAATGAAAAGCTCACAAACACGCATTCGTATACAAACATGCGAATGTACATCAGAATTATATATTGAGAACTGAGATTTCGGAGCGCTCTTGGCAATTGTAAGCGCAAAAGGGCAATGCGTTTGTGTTTCCGCTTCAGAGGTTGTATAAGCTGCAAACGTGCCGAGGTGAAGGTATACAACACAGAAAAAAAGAAGGAAGACGTTGGGGAAAGAACAAAACTTAAACTTGCCGGTAACCTCAACCATCATATGAGACGCAATGTTGGTGTTGGTTTTGGTGGTATTCTACTCCAGCTGGTGCTGTGACCTCTATTCGAACTGCTGAAGTTGTAGTAACTGAACCAAGGAGCAATATTCGTCGTAGAGTGAACTCTTTTTGTCGGCGAATGATCGATGAAGTTGAATATTTAATTTATGACGTGCAACTTTGAACGGACTTGGAAGTTCGATGCTCGGATGGACGCCTGTTTAATTCTGTGTAGCTGTGTGACTACTGGAAATGCGCTTGAATGTGTATAAGTATGTGACTGCATGAATTGAGATGTGGGAATACTTACATATATTTTAGTATTTGTCGTATCAAGAAAAAATATTGTACATGTATTTATTAATATAAAATATACTTTTTTTGTAAAGTTTATTGAAAACTATAACATTTACTTTCAAAGCGTGTCATTTGATTTTTGCATAAAGACTCGCTGTATGTGTATACGCAACTAACACATGGTGATAAGGCTTGTTGCCAGCAATAGCTTGAAGTCGGCTTTTGTGTACCTACTCGTTCGTTGTTAACCTTCGCTCGACAAACTTCTCTTTCTCTGATTCCTCCCTTTCCATGTGCCTTTGTATCTGTTTTGTTGTTTGTGCTTCCTTAATCGTGCATGTTTAATAGCAATCAGTCAGTTTGATCAGGCGAGTCAATAAATAAAACAAACAACTGCATTACGGTTTCGTTGTTGTTATTGGCGCTAGCTTCATTGTAGTTGCATCTGATGTGTTGCGCGTGGCACGGTAGCACTTGCATGCATATATGTATGTATGGCCTGGAGTGTTTTTGCTGCTGCTGGTGTAAAAACATATGACAACATTTTATAAGCAATTCATCAAACACAATTACTGCACTTTGCTCGTTCTCAAGAACGATGAGTTTACATACATATGTATGTATGTATGCCCATATCTATGTATACATACATACATATATTAATGTTCATAAAAATATTATGTATCAAAAAATTTTGGCACAGTGGCTATTGACAATATTCGTACATATTTACTATGTGTTTTTATGATAATTTTTTTGTTCATTTTATGAACATTTTTTGGTTCATGATTTCGTCGCTCGAATAAAGAAACAGTGTAAATGCCACATACACTATTATTCGATAATTGCACCATTGGATAGACAATCCTTTAATCTATTAGAAAAAACTTTAGTTTTCTTAAATATTCTTTGGCTCACTGATTTATTCGCGAAAAACGAAATTGTGTTTGTAGGGTTTGTAATGGTTTATAAAAACTTCCAATTCGTTTTTCTCAAAACTATAATTTTCATGTTACACTATTTCATTATTCCAGCGACGATTTATAAAAAAATAAGTTCATAGTATAACATTTATTAATCCAAATCTTTAGAAAATTTCTTGGTACATGGTAGTTTTTAGCTCATTTAGTGGTAGTATAATTTAGTGCAAATTCGAAGCTTCTCAAAATTTCTGTTGATTTTTAATATTTCTCTTTTTTGGTGATAGTTTGGCGCTAAAAAAAATCGGAACCATTAAGCATTAAAAAGAGGAATTGCAGCTCTATTTAAATGTGCATAAATTGTAGGCATTTAGTTACTGCGGCTACATCTGGCTGGTTAACAGTGATACGAATATCATATATGGTGAAAAAGGCTTTAGGAAATATGTTAAAGTTTCAAAAGAATTTAATCATTTATTCAATTTTTCGCTTTATTTATAAAACATTTTGATAATCTTAAACACATAAATTTTTTCTTTTTACTTATAAATCAATGAAACGAAGAATTTCCAAATTTTTCGTGGTTTTTTGAAAAATTCTTCTAGAACTTCGTCAACTGAAAAATATATATCTTTGTGAATATTTACAGATGCTAGACTGTTGAGTCTTTCATGACATGTTGTATTTCTCAAGTAGGCTTTAATTCTTTTCAGGCATGAAAAGCTTCGTCCAGGTGTGGCTATTGAAACGGGCAAAAGTGCCATATACGTAAGATCTTAAAAACATTCCCAAAAGACGTTGTATTAGCTACTTGTAATGCTTCGAGAGCATTTCGAAAATGTTCGTGTAAAACTCGTTTTTCCACATTTTTACCTCCAGACGAAAGTTTTGTTTCGAGCAGTCGATTACTTTTTCATAGAAAGCAAAGTTCTTCAGTTTTTTTCGTTAAAATCATACTTTGGAAACAAAACACTAAAATTATTTAAAACTGATTTATGGTTTAGGAACCAGTTTTTCAAATGTGCAATATATGTATCAAGGTAGGGAATGTAAAAAGCAATGCGATAGTATGCCTCGGCGTCTCCGGTTTTCACATTAAAGGGATTCTTTTGGCGACTGCTGAATCGCGGTACTTTGATTTCTGTACCTAGGTTGGTGCATACTTCTTCTACGTGTTCGAAAAGCAAATGAAAGTTTTTTCTGCATCTTGTGCATTTCTTCAAATTCCTTTAAAGCGTAGTCGGCTAAGCTCATTGCTTCTGCAAGATCTTCATTAGGTACTTGTAATTGCCGGCTAGATAAGCAACAACAATTTATAAAAAAGCAAATGCTGGCTGTTGTCGCTGTGCTAACAGTTTTTCAAACCCTGAAAATTTCTATAGATATTCGCACGATACAAATAATTTTTACGGTATTTTCCCCGTGACAAATAAAATGTTTTTGACAATTGGAAGAAATACAACTTCGAAAGTCTTTTAAAAACGATTTTTCATTTTGCTACGTTAGAGGCCTTGCCGAAAAACTTGTGGATACATATACATATACACAAAAATTGCTCGTTTAAGATAATTAGAATAAGTAGCAAAATTTCCCGCAATAAAATTTTATCTATACCAAACAAATTTTCTAAAAATTCTGATTAAAAAAATTTGAAATTTTGATCAATACATAATTAGAAACTTTTGATGAGATTTTTGAAATTTTTTCTACAGTTTGTACACAATTTGAGACTCCGATAAATCTAGATTTTACTACAAATAGCATTATATTTAGTTTTATGCAAAATTTAAAAAAGAAGACATAAAAAATATATCAATTGCTTAGAATAAAAAGCTCTAAGGGCAGTTTAAGTTTTACAGCAGAGTTAAAGAACTTCTATTTCGGACTTATACAAATTTCTGTGCCTTCTTTGGAATTTCCCAATTTATTGAAAAGAATCAGGTAGAATCAGGTTTAATACT